AGTAGACTAAAAGCTTTAGGAATCCAAAGTACAACATATAATAAGTACCCTGTATCAAGATTGATGCAAAACAAGTGAAATTTGACCTTTTTAGAGAGATTTAGCCAAAAACCCCCACTTCTGGGGTCATTTGGGTGGATTTGACCTATCTCTGGCCCCCCTTGCTCGATCTGGTTGGTTGACATACCCTTGTGACCGTTAGAGCCAATAGAATCGAAGGAGGAGACTCACATAGACATACATTGTAAAGAAAAAATGTTGCCGCTTCGCGTGTGGAAAGCTAAACTAAACTGGAGGAATGTCTCCTTCTGGAGTTTGGAAACTAAAACGCAGTTGTATTGCTTATGGATTATCAGAAATAATTTCAAAGAAGGCACAGACACATAGGATGAACCTATGGATTAACTGCACGCATCGTTTTTTTATCGTTTTAATGCCATTGAAGACCACTTTTGACCAAGGTAAGATATATTTACATGTTTAGCTTCTTGGCTCCACATGTGATGATGTACGCTTTCGTTGATAGCGTCGCGAATGTTTATCACTGAGTGTTGAGGTGGGCACCGTTAGATTCAGTGTCTCCAGGACACCAAAAACGGTTGGTTGTGCATCTAGGATAAGTAATAAGGGAGTTCTGAGTGAGTTTAGGTGCAGAGATGGGTTACATTTTTTTCGCTCTTGGCTAATTCAGAGGCTGAGTGCTAGCATTGTGGGTTTTTTTTGAAAAAAAAAATTAAAAAGATCAGTTAGCTGAGTTTCTTCCCGTTACATGGATATAACACATTCATAGTTTTATTCAATATTAAGATTCCTTAGACGTTGTTTCCTGCAAATGACGCGTTTATCCGCCCGGTACCGGGGGGAAGGCGTGAAACAGGTTAAAAGGCTAACAAATGGTGCAAAATGACCCAAAACAATGCAGGTTGGAGGAGAGACAGCACCATCCTCTCTAATTGATTAATTGGAGAAGACTTCTGGAAGAGAAACAGGACGTGAGTTTATTCTGATTAAAAGATTACGCATAGAATATATAAGGAGTAGATACTTATACACATTATACCTGTTCCTAGTATCAACTAAATATACTAACCTGTCAGAAAAACTCAAACCAAAAGTATCAAACTCTCAAACTGAATGAAATCCCAGCAGTTTGAAACCCAGCTGAGACGAGCAGCAGCAGCTGTCAATCCTCTCATTGATTCATGTTTCAGGACAAAGTGTGTGTTATTAGTTTCATCTGAAAGCCCATGCATCACAACGTGTCTCTGACTCTACGAGCACATGGTCTGCAGCCCCCCCCCTCTGATCCATGAAGCAGCGTTTTATATCCACGCTTAGTGCATTATGTAGCCAGGCAACAGACCCACAATGCATCACAACGTGTCTCTGACTCTACGAGCCTGGTTTCACTTTGTTTTAATTCAACGTTCACTTCTTTGGAATCAAAAGTGCCGAAAACATCTCAAAGCGCCTCAGAGAGAAACGACTGGTCAACACTGATCCCATTCCTCCCAACAGCACTCTGTTATTGAATATCTGTGCAGCCTCTGCATTACCCAGAATGCACCAGCCGCACACGCAGCCATTCATCTTTAACAGGACCTTGGACCTGACAGGAGGGGGGGGGGGGACCTCATCTATCACAGGGAGAGAAGTTAGGAGCCCTTCCCATGTGGAGAGGGAGAGAAGCTGAGCGACGCTCGATGAGAACGTGCAGTGTCTGCCACCACGTCTCCGTCTGTGTTTCCTCGAGTGATTTCACTGCTCTGTTAGAGGACCTGGATCTGGAGCTAACGCTAACGCTAGCGCTAACATCTTGTTTACTCGGAGTACATATTCTTGTAACTCTGGCACAACTATTTCCTTTGAGATAAATAAAGTCTTATCTTAAATGTTAAATAAGAGCTTTCTGTCGTCACGCAGCACCTCTGATGCATGAGCAGGTATTTCACCAGTCACTGAGGTTGGTAATTACTGCCAGTGATATGACCCCTGAAGGCATCACTGTTTCCTGTGTAATTAAACTCAGAGTCTGAGAAACGTCCAGTCAGAGCTGTGTGTGTGTGTGTGTGTGTGTGTGTGTGTGTGTATGTGTGTGTGTGTGTGTGTGTGTGTGTAATCTAGACTTCTAACAGTTTCTAAATGTGTCACCTGTAGTTTAACAAGATATAATCAAAACATTTCACGATGCTCAATATTGAAATTTGCATCAACACCTGAAACCACAAGACTTACGAATTGAGCTTGAACTATTTCTACCTTTTCTCCATTTAACGGGGTCTTACCACGTGCACAGAGAAACTCTCTCTAAAAGAGCAGGAGCTTGTATAATTCAGAGCCTGTACTGTGGGTATCAGGAGGAAACAGAATGAATACTTCATTGTGTTTAGGAAGAGGAGCGTCTGCACTGCAGAGGGAGAGACGTGCACCTGCTCACCGGACAGACGCTGCACCATGTAAAGAAATATGAAGATGGAAAAACAAGGTCTGCAAGCATTGAAATCAAATGCAAAGCTTTGTGAGACTTCAGCAGAGATAATAATATATCATTTCTATTTACGGATAACAATCTGATAAAGCACATTGATAGAAGAGCAAGGTACTGAACTCTTTACAGAGAACACGTGTAGCTTGGATTCTTTACACCGTGTTGAACCAGGCTGTCGTCTCAGCTGGAGGTCAGTCTGTGAACTGCAGCTGAGACGTCTCTCCTTTAGCTGCTAAACTAAATACATATTTAGAGCAACAATCAGAGAGAATTCATGAATCAATAATAAGGGAATGGTTTCAGACGTTTAGAGACACTTTGTGAACTTTCATTGTGTAAATCAAGCTGTGTTCGTGCAGCCGCTGATCATCTGAACCTCTGAACCTCTGATAAATGAACCTGGAGGCAGTCTGCTCAGGGCTAAACGATCCATTATTACTAACACATGGGGAGAGAGAGAGAGAGGGGGGGGGGAGAGAGAGAGAGAGAGACACAGGGGGAGGTAAAGGGAGACAGATCTGTGTGGTCAGCTCTCAGCTTTAAGTGTTTTGCAGCAGCAGGAGGAGGAGGAGGTCTCTGGAGACGAGTCAAATGAAAAGAGAGCATCGGGTTTAATCTAATACATGGACACACACACACACACACACACACACACACACACACACACACACACACACACACACACACACACACACACACACACACACACACACACACACACACACACACACACACACACACACACACACACACACACACACACACAACACACACACACACACACACACACACACACACACACACACACACACACACACACACACACACACACACACACACACACACACACACACACACACACACACACACACACACACACACACACACACACACACTTTGTATGGACATGCTTTTATTTTGAAGGAGAGTTAGCGCTGTTGACAGGAAGTTGTTGTTGCTATGGAAACAACGTGACGGAGATTAACGGAGAAATCTACATTATAAAGACGGAGAAAGTAAACGATAACGTTTATGGTTAAGTGTTAGCACCCCCCGAAGAGGCACAAGCTCTTACGTTGATATTGGAGTTTTCAATAAATTCGATTTGGCAGCCGCAGTGCAGCCAAAAAACGAAAAGGAAAAAAAACGAATATCCGAATAACGAAATTGAAACCCGAACAGGTACAGCCCTGCTGTGCTGCAGCTCCTCTTTTCACCCTCTGTCTGAAACCAGAGCTGCTCTGATTGGTCAACCAGCTTATGGATGTCCCGCCCCCTTAGCCTCCTATCAAGTACAATGTGTTGGAGCGCTGGCCAATAGGAGTGCAGGTGTTCCGTAGTGATGTCACTGTGTTGTGGAACTTTGGGATTTCACAGGACCCAGTATAGCACCAGTATAAAAGCATTTCCCCCCCCCCCCCCCTTAAACAGAGCGTTTTGTATTTTTAAATCTGTATATATGTGTTGTCTCCACGGTAACGTGTCTCTTTAAATCCCCTCAGATTCCCCCCCGCTGGGTCTCTGATGAACTCCTAACGACGTCTTTAATTAAAGCCACGATGATGACGCTCTCTTAATGCATGAGACACCTTCACATCAACGCCTCAGACGTGCTCTGCATTAATTAACTCATCGCCATGGAAACCGCAGGTTCGTTAAGCTGAGAATCACTTTGAGTTAAATATGTATTTCTCACAGGTTTCTTTATGCAACAGAACAGAGAGAGACCTCGACTGAGAGACCTGATGAGAAAACACTGAGGTTCATCACAGCGAGGTGTACCTCCTCATGTGACGCTATCTGACGCGTACCTCCTCATGTGACGCTATCTGACGCGTACCTCCTCATGTGAAGCTATCTGACGCGTACCTCCTCATGTGGCGCTATCTGACGCGTACCTCCTCATGTGATGCTATCTGACGCGTACCTCCTCATGTGGCGCTATCTGACGCGTACCTCCTCATGTGGCGCTATCTGACGCGTACCTCCTCATGTGACGCTATCTGACGCGTACCTCCTCATGTGACGCTATCTGACGCGTACCTCCTCATGTGACGCTATCTGACGCGTACCTCCTCATGTGGCGCTATCTGACGCGTACCTCCTCATGTGATGCTATCTGACGTGTACCTCCTCATGTGGCGCTATCTGACGTGTACCTCCTCATGTGGCGCTATCTGACGTGTACCTCCTCATGTGGCGCTATCTGACGTGTACCTCCTCATGTGACGCTATCTGACGTGTACCTCCTCATGTGACGCTATCTGACGTGTACCTCCTCATGTGACGCTATCTGACGTGTACCTCCTCATGTGACGCTATCTGACGTGTACCTCATGTGATGCTATCTGACGCGTACCTCCTCATGTGACGCTATCTGACGCGTACCTCCTCATGTGATGCTATCTGACGCGTACCTCCTCATGTGGCGCTATCTGACGTGTACCTCCTCATGTGGCGCTATCTGACGTGTACCTCATGTGATGCTATCTGACGTGTACCTCCTCATGTGACGCTATCTGACGTGTACCTCCTCATGTGGCGCTATCTGACGTGTACCTCCTCATGTGGCGCTATCTGACGTGTACCTCCTCATGTGACGCTATCTGACGTGTACCTCATGTGATGCTATCTGACGTGTACCTCCTCATGTGACGCTATCTGACGTGTACCTCCTCATGTGACGCTATCTGACGTGTACCTCCTCATGTGACGCTATCTGACGTGTACCTCCTCATGTGACGCTATCTGACGTGTACCTCCTCATGTGACGCTATCTGACGTGTACCTCCTCATGTGACGCTATCTGACGTGTACCTCATGTGATGCTATCTGACACGTACCTCCTCATGTGACGCTATCTGACGCGTACCTCCTCATGTGACGCTATCTGACGCGTACCTCCTCATGTGACGCTATCTGACGTGTACCTCATGTGATGCTATCTGACACGTACCTCCTCATGTGACGCTATCTGACGCGTACCTCCTCATGTGACGCTATCTGGACGCGTACCTTCCTCATGTGACGCTATCTGAACGCGTTACCTCCTCATGTGAGCTATGCGCGTACTCCTCATGACGCGTACACTCCTCATGTGACGCTATCTGACGCGTACCTCCTCATGTGACGCTATCTGACACTACCTCCTCATGTGACGCTATCTGACACGTACCTCCTCATGTGACGCTATCTGACGTGTACCTCCTCATGTGACGCTATCTGACGCGTACCTCCTCATGTGACGCTATCTGACGCGTACCTCCTCATGTGGCGCTATCTGACGCGTACCTCCTCATGTGGCGCTATCTGACGCGTACCTCCTCATGTGGCGCTATCTGACGCGTACCTCCTCATGTGACGCTATCTGACGCGTACCTCCTCATGTGACGCTATCTGACGCGTACCTCCTCATGTGACGCTATCTGACGCGTACCTCCTCATGTGACGCTATCTGACGCGTACCTCCTCATGTGACGCTATCTGACGCGTACCTCCTCATGTGACGCTATCTGACGCGTACCTCCTCATGTGACGCTATCTGACGCGTACCTCCTCATGTGATGCTATCTGACGTGTACCTCCTCATGTGACGCTATCTGACGCGTACCTCCTCATGTGACGCTATCTGACGCGTACCTCCTCATGTGACGCTATCTGACGCGTACCTCCTCATGTGACGCTATCTGACGCGTACCTCCTCATGTGACGCTATCTGACGCGTACCTCCTCATGTGACGCTATCTGACGCGTACCTCATGTGATGCTATCTGACGTGTACCTCCTCATGTGACGCTATCTGACGCGTACCTCCTCATGTGACGCTATCTGACGCGTACCTCCTCATGTGACGCTATCTGACGTGTACCTCATGTGATGCTATCTGACGTGTACCTCCTCATGTGATGCTATCTGACGCGTACCTCCTCATGTGACGCTATCTGACACGTACCTCCTCATGTGACGCTATCTGACGCGTACCTCCTCATGTGACGCTATCTGACGCGTACCTCCTCATGTGACGCTATCTGACGCGTACCTCCTCATGTGACGCTATCTGACGCGTACCTCATGTGATGCTATCTGACGTGTACCTCCTCATGTGATGCTATCTGACGCGTACCTCCTCATGTGACGCTATCTGACGCGTACCTCCTCATGTGACGCTATCTGACGTGTACCCTCCTCATGTGACGCTATCTGACGCGTACCTCCTCATGTGACGCTATCTGACGCGTACCTCCTCATGTGGTGCTATCTGACACGTACCTCCTCATGTGACGCTATCTGACGCGTACCTCCTCATGTGACGCTATCTGACGCGTACCTCCTCATGTGACGCTATCTGACGCGTACCTCCTCATGTGACGCTATCTGACGTGTACCTCATGTGACGCTATCTGACGTGTACCTCCTCATGTGATGCTATCTGACGTGTACCTCCTCATGTGACGCTATCTGACGTGTACCTCCTCATGTGACGCTATCTGACGCGTACCTCCTCATGTGACGCTATCTGACGTGTACCTCCTCATGTGACGCTATCTGACGTGTACCTCCTCATGTGATGCTATCTGACCAATCAGAAACACTGAACTATCCTTCAGTGTGTAGCGTTCCTCCTGTAGGAAGCGTGCTCTGTGACAGAGGGCGAGCGAGGTTACGGGTCAGGAGGTCTAAATCTGTTGGTCATCATTTCATTAAAAAGTGATTCTGGATTCACTAAAAAGCTGAAATCAATAAATCTGATTAATTTGTTCCCCCGGGGGATAGAGGGATCTGTGGCAGACGCTCCTTTGAAATAAAATACAAGTAAAAGAAATGAAAGATGCAAAAAGAGAATTCAAATATATTTATATAAAGTTAAAGTTAAAATGAGCAGTCAAATAAAATATGTGTATATCTTATTCATATGAACAGAACAAATGAAGGCATGAAAACCAAAGAGCCAGGTGTACAGATTGTGGAGTTGAACCTGAGTTTAGGATCCCACGACCTTTATGTGTGACCCCATCACACACACTCTCTCTCTCTCTCTCACACACACACACACATGCTGTTTTTATGTGAATTGATTTCCCCTTTATTCAGCTCACAGTCATTTCCATAGGTCATCACCTCCCATTCTGTCCAGCCCTTTGTCCACCAGATGTGCTGTGTGTGTGTGTGTGTGTGTGTGTGTGTGTGTTGGGGGCAAAATCACATGACCCCCCTCACACACACAGAGCTAGAGGCTGCTGTGTGTGTCCTTCAGGTTGGAGCTGGTTGAGCACACACACACACACACACACACACACACACACACACACACACACACACACACACACACACACACACACCACACACACACACACCACACACACACAACACACCCACACACACACAACACACACCACACACACACACACAACACACACACACACCACCACACACACACACCCACCCACACACGACACACACACACACACACACACACACACACACCACCCACAAACACCACACACACACACCACACACACACACACACACACCACACACCACCACACACACACACAAACACACACCACACCTTATGAATTAAACTACAACACACACACAGTCAGGAAGAACACCTGCAGCTGATACCAGAAAGATGAACACACACTGAACGCCACATTTCTCAGAAAAGGCTGTTCTGGGTATTTATTTTAGGATTTTCACAAAAGAGACAAACTTAATAAGTTTCACGCCCTGTTTTTATCTTATTTCACATGTTCTGTGTGCTTCTACATTTCACTCTGACACGGTGTCCCTTTCTCTACTGAAGTGAAACAGAATGGATTCAAATGTACATGTCCTGCCTTTATATCATTATTAGAGTCCAAGTCCATATTTGGGGTTTGCAGTGAAACTTCAAAGCATCACGTGAGACGAGGAGAACTAGGACTACAGATCTCTAATGGGTTTTATAGCAAAGCATCTCAGATTTGACACAAACAAGGATGCTTACCGTCTCTTTATTTAACTAAACGTCATACATGTGCAGCCAGAGATTAGAGCACACTAAATAATACCAGAGTGACAACGATAAGCTTCTTGTGAAACACTTGCTCAGAGTTGCACACACACACACACACTGTCCTCTGCGTCACATTTAGTAAACAACAGATTTGTTGACAGCTGCGTCCTGATGAAAAACACTTTGTTTGTTTCCTGTTTGGTCCCCAAAAGATGAACGAGAGGGAGGAGACCACACACACACACAGTTTCACTTCCCATCAGCTGTGTGTGTGTGTGTGTGTGTGTGTCACAGACAGTCTGCTCTCTCACACATCACATGCTGCGCTTTTATTGGCATCCCAAAACGGGACTGAAATCAGGAGGATGATTATTTCACACACACACACACACACACACACACACCACACACACACACACACACACACACACACACCACACACACCACAAACACACATCCACACACACACACCACACACACACACACACACCACACCACACACAACACACACACACACCACACCACCACACCACACCACCACACCACACATTCACCACACACACACATACAAGCACACCTAACACACACACACCACCACACACACTAATCACACACCACACACACCACACATTGGATTATAAAACTGTTCACCACATTAAACCTTTTCTCTCTTTGAACTCACTGATGGTTCAACTAGTAACATGTCCATTTAGTTTGAATCAGTGTTGTAGTCCAAGTCACCAATTCCACTAGTTCCCAATTCAACCTCCTCGATCAACCACTCTTCGAGTCGAGTCCAAGTCCCGAAGTCACCCAAGGGAGAGTCGTAGTCTAGTCCGAAGTCCAAGTCCCGAGTCAACCCGAAGGAGTGTCCCGAGTCGAGTCCTAAGTTCCGAGTCATCGAGTACTCATTACCTGTGTTCGAGTCCGAGTCCAAGTCCGAGTCACCCAAGAAGAGTCCAAGTCAAGTCCGAGTCACAAGTCTTCATGTATTAATCTTCATGGATATATGTGTTGAAATGTAGCTGCTCCTCTACATTGGTTTTATCCTGTCATGTTATACTAATCTGTCTATTGAACTGCTGTGAAGCCAGTTTGGCTACAATTCTTGTAATAGGTGCTATACAAATATAAAGCTTATTACTAATATTAATATTATTATTATATATAATAAACTATGTTTAAAAATGAGTTACCTTTTAGAGAAGTGATTATATTTGTATGCCAATATTTTCCTATGGTAAAGTTTTCGTTTTGCACTTTTATTTTGATAGTAATAAGATCGGGACTCTTATTTTGAAGGAACTTTTACCGGTTAAATCGGTTTACTGATGAAGATTTAGCCCCAGAAAGCACATGGCTACTTAGCATGCAAAATGACGTCATTCTGCATGTTAAGTAGCCGTGTGCTTTCGTGTTATCGGCTGAATCTTTATTTATTGATTAGATCACGTTACTCTGATGATAGTGTTCAGCCTATATGTCTGAACTCGATGTTTAGAGTAATGTGTTACGGAGCCTTCTCTTCAATATTGTTTCCACATAGAGCATTTTGCGCTGCTCTTTTCCAATGTGGAAGCAGAATGTGTGAAAGCATACAGCACGATGCGGGTTGTGTCTCTAGACATCTTTAGACTGGAATAGCGGGGCCCAGTATGTGAACTCGCCTCGCAGCCGGTGCACACGCCAGGATAGAGGACATCAGACTCCATAGAAAACTTGCTCGAGTCCGAGTCCGAGTCCAAGTCGGAGCGTCAATGTACAAGTCGAGTCCGAGTCATCGTGGGGGGAAAAATGCACGAGTCCGAGTCCGAGTCCAAGTCAGCGTACGCGATAATTCACGAGTCCGAGTCCGAGTCCAAGTCATCGTGTGCGAGAATTCACGAGTCCAAGTCCAAGTCTCGTCAATCAGTGCGCGAGTCCGAGTCGAGTCACGAGTCCCGAAAATCGGCACTCGAGTCCGAGTCCAGGACTCGAGTACTCCATCTCTGGTTTGAATGCATTGACCTGCTTCACAGTAACCTCTCATTTATCCCCAAACTGCCTTATTATAGGTCAGATATTCAGATTGAGGAGATGCTGTCATCAGATCATGTGTAATCACAGGTAACCTAGTGATTGGTTTGGACGTCCTCCTAATAGTTTTCCACGGCTAAATACGGACCTTAAATTGAGTGATGTTGGAGTTTAGTTTGCATCCATGCACCCTCTCTTGACATTTAAACTAAAGAAATACAAAACTCTCACAGTAAAACATGCAAAAGCCAGTCACGTGCTGCACGATGCCAGAAAAGACACTTCACTTTGTGAATATAAACACAGACGCTGCTTTCTCTCAGAGTGGGTTTCCTTTAGAGAAACAGCCACTTAGGTGAAATGCTGCAGAAACACATCCCATAAAGCTGCGTAACAGTGCAGTGAAATCACTCGGGGGGCCGTAGGGGGGGGCTTGTCTGAGATTCAGGCTGTTTCTCTGAAGTGAATCTAGGAAATGGTTCTCCTCGGACTTTGCTGCTGCCTCAGAGTTTCATTTAAAGCACAATGAAGGCAATCTGTCCCAGGCAGTGTTTACCAGAGAAATTGGTTTTCCTGCACAGAAACCTCCAGATGCTCCTCAGGTTTAAGAAAAGCCTTCAAAGTAAAAGCGTGGAAGTATCTGAAACCCTGGGTATCTGTCAAGGCACGGACACACCAGGCCGATTATCGGCAGGCCGACGATGAGCGTCGACACGCCCTACTCAGATTGGTGTGTCCCGCACCGTCGGGTCTTTTCAGCCGGGCCGAAAACCTGTCGATTCAACATCGGGAAAATAAATCACTCTGATTGGCTGTTCAGCTTAGCGAATCAGTGCATGAGAAGCGAAATGGAAGTGAGGGACCCAAACAAGCTATTAAGAAGGCAAATCTGAGATTTCATGTAACTCCAGCTCTCGACACAGGTTGAGGAAAGCCCCGTGAGCTTCTGGCTGTAGAGTGAACATGGAACGCACGCTATTTGTTGTTTGTTTATATCACTCAGTCTG